CACTAAGGGCGTGATCGGAGATGGCCAGATACATGTAGAGAACCTCCCCAACTAAAGGGCTCACCAGCCGGGGTAAGGAGTGAAGGTGCTCTTTTAGCCTCTGGAATGCTGCCTTAGCATTTTCCCCCCATTCAAACCTTGTCTTCTTTTTTATTGCTTGGAAGAAGTAGAGGCATTTGTCGCCTGACCGGCTGAGGAACCTCCCCAATGCTGCCAGACAACCGGTTAATTTTTGGACTTCCCTGACAGTGCAAGGTGACTTCATGTCGATTACCGCCTGTACCTTTCCTAGGTTAGCCTCTATTCCCCTTTGATCAGTTAAAAATCCGAGAAACTTCCCAGACACAACACCAAAAACACACTTTTTGGGATTAAGCATGACCTTATGCCGCCTGAGGGTGGTGAAGGTTTCTCGGAGGTCAGCAAGGTGATCCATTTGCAGCTTGGATTTGACTATCATGTCATCAATGTACGCCTCTACATTCCTCCCAATCTAATTAATGAAGACGCTATTAATCATACGCTGTAAAGTAGCAGGCGCATTCTTCAACCCAAACGGCATCACCGTGTAGCAGAATAACCCTTGATCTGTGACAAATGTCGTCTTTTCTTGATCTTTTTTCCACAAGGGTATCTGATGGAAGCTTGAGTAGGCGTCCATAAAACTCATCAAGGCATGACCAGCTGTAGAATCGACCAGACTATCGATCTTTGGAAGTGGATAACTGTCCTTTGGACATGCCTTGTTTAGATCTGTGTAATCAACACACATCCGCCAAGTACCATTCGACTTCTTCACAAGAACCACATTGGCTACCCAATCCGGGTAGTAACATTGCCGAATGAACCAAGCGTCCATCAACTTCTTGACCTCGGCGGCAGCCGCTTGAGACCTTTCCTCGCCGTGATTTCTTTTCTTTTGCCTAACTGGCTTCCTCTTAGGATCCACAGCGAGCTTGTGGACAGCAAGATCCTGGCTTACGCCTGGCATCTCTTCCACTTCAAAGGCAAAAATGTCTTTGAATTCTTTCAACAGTTGGTGTAAGTCTGCACCCAACTTTGCAAAGCAACCGTCCCCACCTTCACAATTCGTTCTGGCCGGCTGTCGTCCACAACAATATCAATATTATCACCAGTCGACTGGGGACGGAGATCATCTGACCATTCCCTCGATCAGTGATTGCTATTGTTTTTCTTTCTTGACGGCCACTAGGTGATCCGCCTTTCTCTTTTTGCCGGCTGCTCTGGGAGCAGGCGCGGCTTCTTGAAAGTCGTCAAGGTCAACATACTTCCCACTTTGGCCGGCTGCAGCCACAGTGGGTTTGACGTCTGAGAGATAGCATTCTCTCGCCGCCTTCTGATCCCCGCTTAGGGAGCCTATTAACCCATCATCCCTCTCGAATTTCAGCAGCAAGAGAGACGGGATGATGAATGCCTTGGACTCGTTGAGGGTATGACGGCCCAAAATCAGGTTATAGGTGGTCAATTCTTCGACCACCAAAAATTTTATGACCATGTGCCGCCCTTCCCCCTTTTCACCTAACCGGATGGGTAGGTCAATCCTTCCTACCGGATGTACAATGCCTCCCCCAAAGCCTACCAAGGGGTGAGAGGCCTTGTGGATGCTGCTAGGCTTGTACTTAAGCTTTGCCAAGCACCTACAGCTGATAAGGTCAGACGAGCTCCCGGTATCGATGAGGATCCGGCCTACTCGTTGGTTGGTGACTTTGCACTCGATGACTATGGGGTCATCATGAGGCCGCCTGACCTTGCCCCGATCTTTCTTAGAGATGATGACCTTAGGGAAGGAGTCTTTTGACGCCTAGCCCTCATCTACTGAGTTGACCTCCAACTTCCGGATGTTATCCTTTGTGCCCCGGATAGTTGAACCACCATCGGCGAAGCCACCTACTATGGTCATGATTTGCTCTTCATCAGTGTCAAAGCTTATAGCCAGGTTGTCTGGCTTCTTGGACTGATGTCCACTGTTTGTCCGGGGATCGTCCTTGGGCTTCACAAGGTAGGACTTTAGAGCCCCCACATCAGCTAGGCGGTCTAGTAGCCGCATGAGGCTATATCAACCATTGGTGTCATTGCCTATGTCTTCATGAAAATAGCAGAACTTGGACTTGTCCCACCTTTTGATGGGACTCTTCATTGCAACCAGTTTCTCTATAGACAACCGGTGTTTGACCTCTATGAGGATGGAGGAGCAATCCTTGTTGAACTCGTACTTGGGGACGTATGGTCTCAACACTTTCTTCTTCTTCTGGGATGACTGACCAGAGTGGTTAGCCCCCCAAACTTCTTTTCTCTTTTTGCCCTTTTATTTTTTTACCGGTTGAGCTGGCCGACTGACCCTTTTGTCGGAATTTGTCCGACGGCTGCTTGACGGCACAGAGCTCCGTCACCTGTATGTAGGCCTCAGCTTCCATCAAGGCTTTCTGAAGGGTTGCCACCCTCTTTCTGACTAGGTTAAACTTGAAAGTCGACCCATCTTTCAGACCCTTGAAGAAGTCTGTGTAGGCAACTTCGTCAGACAGTCTTTGAATCTGAATTCTCATCAGATTGAACTGCCTGACATAAGATCTCAGCCTTTCTCTATCTCCCTGCTATATAGCCCCCAGATCGAGACTTGTCTTCTTGGCTGGGATATTCATAGAGAAGTTAGACACAAACAGGTATGCCAGTGTCTTGAAGTTGTTGACGCAACCGGCTGGCAAGTTACCAAACCATCGTTAGGCTATGCCCTTCAATGTTGCCGAGAAACATCTGCACTAGGCGGCATCGTGCAACCCCTGCAAATACATGAGGTTGGTATACGCCATAAGGTGATCTTCCGGGTTGGTGGTACCATCATAGGCACCAACCAACACGTTCTTAACCTTGGCCAGCTGACCCGCCTCGGTTATCTCCGTAGAGAAAGCCGAAGGCTGTTCTCTAAGGTTTAGCAGTCGAAGCTGCCAATCCATAGGCTGGACATTTTGCGCCGCCTGAACCTCAAAGAGGGTCGGCTGCATGTATGGGGGATCCATACGGCATGTATGGCTGTTGGGGCACATACGGAGCCGGTTGGATAATCTGAGGGCCAGTCCGGGCAGACATGCCGCCAGACTGACTCTCTCGGTTTGTCTTCGTGTACCCCATTGAGGTATTAGGAAGACTGTATGAGAATGTCAACGTTGAAGCCGACTCAGACATTTGTTGACTTCTCTTCTGTTGGAGGAACATCCGAGCATCAGAGAACATCTTTTTGGACCCATCCGACAGTACTTTCCGGATAGGCTTCTTCTTCTTCTCCGCTTCGGGGAAGCGGAATTTTGAGAGATCCACCATGGGCCAATCCGGTCCATGTGGTTTTGGATGAGGAGTTGGGACCCGGTCTTTCACCGGCTTCTTCCCAGGGGGAGAAGGCTTCCTCCCTGCCTGTGTAGGCTTCTTCTCAGAAGGGGATGCCTTTTTGGCCGACTGACCCTTGTGGGAGCCTACTTTCTTGCTGATCAGATCCCTGATTTCCCCTTTGAAGCTACTCATGAATTGCATGAGTTCATCTTTGGTTACAGGGGCAGCACCCTCAACCGTTTGGGCTTGCCCAGCCGGCTGGCCGGTTAGGTGGCTGAGGCCTTTGTCATCCCGTTCCCTTGTCTCTTTGGGACGGGAACGCCTAGATCTGAACGACCCGTCTGGGGCCATGTAGGTTTCGACCTCCTGGTCGTCGCCACTATCTTGGTCCGTATGGACCTCGACTAGAGGCCGCTTCTCATGATTAAGGGGTACAGACTCGTGGGATGCCATTCTGGAAGTACTCTCCCCACAGACGGCGCCAATCTTTCGGGGTCTTCTGATATGTCCTGCAGGAGAGTTACAACACCAGAACTGGTAGTCGGCCGCCTGTACTTGCAAAAGCACGGAGACTCCGGTTAGGTGGAGTTCCGCCTTCGACAATCAAGTTAGAATACGTCTGAGTGAATAAAGATGCGGAAAGTAACTGTTCTCTCGGATTACGGGAGATTCCGCAATTAATATTACTCGGTAATTGTGTTTTTTGTATTTATGATGGACATGAATGCCCAATAAATGAGGATTTTCCTCTATTTATAGTGGAAGAAGAGCTATCCCCCAATTAGGGTTAATATGCCACGTGTCAGCTTCCGATTGGATCCCATTGGGCCTCTAGGAGGCTGACACGTGTCAGCTTACTATTGGGCCATGTGGCATGGGTAAATTCACCCCAAACAGATTACATAAATCGCAAATATTAGGGAAAAAACCCTTAAATTTAAGCATATACATAGTTAAAAATATTAACAAAAATTATTTGAGGAGAAATACATTAACTTGCTCAAAAATGCCGAATTTGTTTGTTGAAGACTTCAGATTGCAGAATCAATAAGATTTTGGAGCAATTGAGCTCTCAAATTTCTGAAGTGTAAGAACGAAGAGAGAGAGAAGAGAGAAGAAAGAAGGAGGGATTTATTTGAGGATTTGGATTGAAAAAGGGTGTAATTAGGAAGAATAAAAGTCTCGTGACCTACATGCTTGAGGTCTAACGCCGAAAAATAGGAAAGTAGGGTTTGATCTTCTTTGACATTTTTTTTTCTATTTAGGATTGAAAAATGCCAAAAATATTTTATAAGGTTGTTTATGACAAAATAGTGCTTTAAAAGGTTATGTTTGACAAATTTTCCTAAATTCTATTATCATAGACATATACTTACCTTTTGTTGTGCAAGATCTCTTAATTCCTTAATTCAATTGAGATTTGCATTGGAAAGATGGAACAACCGTTTGAAATTGTAGCCAAACTCGAGGAACCAAGATTTATATTCACAGAACGATAGACAACAAGAGGAAGAAACCAACAAGTACTACGAGAAAAAGCAAGCAGAGGATGAACAAGGAGATGGAATGAGGAAAGAGAATGAATAGGGTAACAATGGAGAGAGAAGAAGTTACAAAAAATTACAACTTCCATTACGTCTTTATTGGGGAACGGGGCAAACAAATTCAAAATTCAAACTTAAAGATACAAAATGACGAAAATACTCTGATAATCTGATATGTATAATATATTATACAGTACAAGTATGTATTCAGAATGACTCCGACCTTAGAAGTACAAACTAGATTAACAAAAAATTAAAATAAAATACGGCAAAATTAAATAAATCGAGTGGGACCAATGTCACATTGTCACCCTCTACTCTCACATAAACACAAAAACATTACAACCCTAATCCACAAACTAATTATTGAAACTCACTCTCATCTGTGGAAGTCAGACATGTTTGCCATTTTTTTGATTCCTTCTCTTGTCATTTCTTCTTCCACTTGCACTTTTTAAAACTTTATTCAACCACAACTCCTCTACCTTTATCACGAGCTCTTCCTGAACTAACAACAATGGCGGAAAAAGGAAATCTCATAAATCATAAAGCTTCTAATTTTGTCTCTAACTCTTCCTCTTTAAGAATCAATTAAAGCTGTTTCCCCACCATTTTTCTCTTTCTCTCTCCTACTGTCGGTGATTGTTGAAACTTTCTGGATCTCTCACATTATGTGTAAGATTTCTTTAATGGCGTCGAATTGTTGGGATTATCCTCCGTTTGATTTGTATTCGGTTGCGGTTTTCGAATTAATTTCGAATTTTTCATGAACAATGTTTAGCTGAATTTTTGATTTAGCCCAGATTTTTGATTTTAGGGTTAGAAAATGGAGGATATTGGGTTGGTTCAGCAAGGTTGGAAATGGGTGCAATCTCAAAAGTATGCATGTTCATTTGCTCGAACAACTGCTTGTTGTATCAGAGATAGGGTTTGGGTCGCTATTGATCGACATTGGCCAATGGTTTGTAATGGTTGCAAGAATTTCTGTAGGTTTGTGGTTTTTGTGTTGGTTTATTGGAAGGATAGCTTTTTAAGGGGTTTTCGATCGTTGATTGGGCTGCAATCGGCGGCATTGCTGGTTATTATGTGGAGTTGTTTTTTGAGCTTGACCTCCATATCTTGTTTGGTTTATGTGCTGATTAGTATGGTAAGTTGTGGATTTGATTTATTTTTCGCGGTTTTTAATTACTCCCCTTGACCCCGTTTTTAGGTAGATAATGTTGATCTTTATTAGATTCGTTCTTAATTATGTGGTGGTGTGAATAGTCTTGATTATGTGATTGGGTTTCATGTTTGTCACCATGTATTATTATAGATTTCTTGATATGGTGTAGTGTGTGTTGTGTGGATGTTATGCCTCAAATATTGTTAGTGAATATGTGACCTGTGGGCTTCTTTAGGGTAGCTGATCATGAGAAATGTGAAGTATGAGGAGAATTACTGGGTTGCAAACCTTGTTGACAATAAATTGTTGATTTTGCCGATGGGCTTTTGGCATTCTTATACTTTATCATATACGCGGTTTCTTCACTTAGAGAGTGTTTGGTAATGCGAGTATATGACTGGGTTTCCAACAGTTGCTCTAAATTATGCTAGATTCTTGATGGAAAAAGTGTGGTGTACAGGTGTACTGTTGTGTGGGTGTTTTGCTTCCTTGAATTGTTTAGTGACGGAGTTGATTTAAATTGTGGGTTTCTTGAAGGCTAGTTGTTGATGAGAAACGATATGTTTTTACTGAATAACATACAGACATGCATAATCCTTCTTGGCAATGACACGTAAATTGTTAATAGTGCTTATAGGCTGCTCACACTCTCTCATACTTTATCTTATCTGAGGTGTCTATATGTAGAGTGTGTTTGGTTTGGAGTAAATTATTTTCCTTCATTTGGTTGTAGAGGGGTGGAACACTGTTTTCACATGTTCCTATGTATTTGATGGTTTTTATTATTTTTGTTATCCTCTCCATTCTTTTGTCAATCTTCCATTGGATAAAAGATGACACTAATAATGCATCATCTACACCACATCATATAAAATGATTTCATGCCACTCTATGTCTATATATATGTATAAAAAGAAACTTGAAATGCATAGAACTCTGTGCTTCTTTAGAAACCTTGACAATCCCTCAGTAGAATCATATCACCATGATAAAGGCACTCCCTCTTTATGCCTTGTACATCAATGCCTGATCACCTTCCGCTCTAAACTTTTTATGGTTACTTGAGCGAGTTGCAAATTTACTCTGATAATGTAGTAAGAATATGGAAGGTTTAATTAGTAAAAGATAATTTGAAAGAATGTGGGTAATTTGCTACTGCACCTGGTGTTCAATACTTCATATTTCCAAAGTGCAAGATATTATGAGCATCCTAGTTAAAATTTACTCCGAAGGCCTGGCTTGTCTCAATGAATTTAGAGCTTGACAAAATTTGGGGATTTTCTTGGAGGACTTCCACAGATGACTGGATGTTGAATTTCCTGTTCTTTGATCTACTTTGAGTACATAGTGCAAGAATCTGCTGACTTAGGTTTCTGTAAACTACTATTGTCACGCATATCTACCTTGCAAAGTACTGAATGATCACCACATAATTCACTCAGTGGTAATAATCATCATTTGCTCATAACTAAAGAGGATATTCAGTGTTAATCAATTCATTTTAAAATACTGCAGGGCTGAAGTGTCACATTTATTTGATTCTTCTATTTTTTATTTATCACCAGCTAAATTTTAAGTGTTTAGATTCCAAATTATGCTACCAAATAGCTTTGGACTTATGCACTTGAATTTGAAAATTTCAGGCAGCTGCTGGAGTTGCTGTTCAGTACCTGGGCTACACTCCTGGTCTTTTTATTGTAGGGCTGTTTGCCATTTTAATTTTGTGGATGTATGCTAACTTCTGGATCACGGGAATATTGTTCGTGGTAGGAGGTAAAGTTTATTTTCTTACCTGCTAGGTCTTTCTGTTGAAAAGAAATAGATAAATATATCTAACTATAATAATTTATTAATTTATATGCTTGCGTATCTGCCTTATCATTCTCAAATACTGCTTGTGGAAATTCAATAGCTTACTCAATGTAAATGTAGTGAATTAAAAAAAAAAAAATGATAGTGAGGTTTAGTTAGTTAATATTATATGAATAAAACAGAAAAAAAATGGACTTTTTATTTTTTATTTTATTAAAGGTGAATAAAAGTACGTGGAGAAGTGGTATTTTTATTTAAGGACAAGATTTTTGGGTCAAATGGGACTTTTATTTTGGGAAGGATGACATTTGTTTCCTATTGCTGAAATTTACAGTACCTTTATTCGTTTTTTAAAGAATAGGCAATAGTAAAAAGTTCGGAAGACGATAAAATAGATTAGAGACAGTATTTTTGATTGGCAGCCCTTGCATATTTTATCAGCTCATTGAACATCTAGTACTTCAAAATTTGAATGGTCATGAGGTCCTAGATTTTAAACATGATTACTGAAAATTAACATAACGGAAGGTAGGCAACATTGCTGCTGCATCTTTAGTTTCTATTTGTAGAATATATAGGGAGGTAGATTCTAGTTCTCAATAGCCTCATTTGCTGTATATATTAATTTTGTGAACAAAATATAACCCTTTGTAAGTCTTTTGTTATGCAGGTTACTTATTTTCCCTTAATCATGCACGATTGGTGGTCTTGATGGCAATGCTTTATTCTGTTTACTGTGTGAAAGTACGAATAGGATTGGTTGGCATTTTCCTTTCAGTTAACCTTGCATTCCTATCAAATGATGCATTCAATTATTTGTTACAATGGTGTGATACTCTGAACGAGAATACACGCTATGAGGAGCATAAAGCATCAGAAGAATTTACAGAGGATAATTTTTCTGGAGAATGTGAATATTCTATTCCCTCTGATGAATCTGAAGAACAGCCCTCGTCTACTTCAGCTGGCAAAACATCCAGTAAAACTGCAAATAGAACAACTTCTAGTACTACAACTGTCTTGAAAAATCAGAAAGAAGCTTCTCCTAGTCAGGTGATCAAAGAAGACAAATGTTCATTAACTGAAATGAGAAGAATTTTAAGCTGTAATGACCATTATGAAGCATTGGGATTTCCGCGCCACAAGAAAATTGATGCTACTGTACTAAAAAAGGAATATAGGAAAAAGGTACAAAGTAAATCTTAATTCCCTGTTCAGTTTTCATCTTATCTTTTAATCTCTATGTAATCTTGATACTAGTGTCATTAAATAGGTAACTAAACCAATTGGCATTTGTCAGACTGCTATCTACTTTTATTCTTGCGTTGCTTTGATTCCTGAAATTCTACAATACATTCACTTTAGTGATTGTCCAGCCAGATTTGCTGCTGTATACATGTGGGCCGGGGCTACCTTCCAGCTAATTGGCTTTAAATGCCAAAGTTGGCTGTCCTTATGCAGTAAGATCAGTAAACTTTTTATGCTGAAGTGCTGAGCAATGGGCTCTTATAAAGTGCTGAATATTTCATGTTATTGATGCATCTTTCTGTTGCAACAATACGCAGAATGGATGTACATGCTTACAAAAGGATAAATTTGTCGGCACTTTTATCCTTGACATTCATTTTCTCTGGCTGAATAGTCTCTTTTAATCCTTGCTTGAAAGTCAGGAACTTTCAAGAGTTGGAATCTTTCTGTTGACATAGCGATGTGACCTATTAGTTTGTTTACCCATTATGAAAGAGAGTTATTCTTGCACTTTATCATCTTATCTGTTTCTTTTGATCTGTAATTTCTTTGCATCAATTCATTCTTTCTTACAGGCCATGCTAGTGCATCCTGATAAAAATATGGGAAGTCCACAAGCAAGTGAGTCGTTTAAGAAGCTTCAGTGTGCTTATGAGGTAATGAGTATGGTTCTAATGTTTGATTAAACCTTCTCATATTCAATCCATTTGCTTTACTCTACCTGTATTATTATAAGTTGTTTTGATTACCAGGAAAAACTGTTTGTTACTTTGCGTCCACAACTTAGTTCATTACTGATTTCAGGTACTTTCGGATTCTACTAAGAGAAGAGATTATGATGAGCAATTGAGGAAGGAGGAATATAAAAATATTTCCCAAAAGTCTCCTAGCACCTCAAATCAGGTAATCAATTGGATTCGTCATTGAATTAAAAGATTAATAAAATCTCTGTAGGAGCATTTCATATTTTGGCAAGTATTTTATCAAAACCATGCCAGTTATATGTAATCCACATCATACTAAGAATATGTAAGGGTTTCCAAATATGACTATGCAACTATGCTAGCATCAAGCTTAGGAACAAGTGAAGTATACACTTGTGTCAATCAATCAATCAAAGCCTTAATCCCATAAGTGGGGTCGGCTACATGAACCAAATTTGATTATTCCGTGTAGTCATCGACAAGAATCTTCCTTCTCCATCCCTTACGATCCAATGCTTCATCCTCATACAAATCCATATACTTTATATCCTTCCTAACTCCTTCCAACCAAGTCATTTTCAGTCTCCGTCTTACATGTCCAAACCAATGCAGGCGATTTTCCCCTAGTTTGTCTGCAATATTTGCCACACCTACTTTCTTGTGAATAACCTCATTTTTGATTCTATCTCTTAGAGTGTTCCCGCACATCCACCTTAACATAAGTATTTCCGTAACCTCCATCTTTTTAATGTGCTCCTTCTTAGAAGCCCAACATTCTTTACCATAAAACAACTTTCCCTTTAACTGTAAGGGAATGACCGCTCTCCATTCAAGCCACCCCAACTTAATCCTTTGGGCCACGTCTTGATCAATGTCACTCATGGTCAAATCCTTTCCATCCAAAGTCACCACATCATTGCTTGTCCCCCTCTGAGTACCAAAGCAACATACCAAATATTCAGTCTTACTTTGACTTAGCTTAAATCCTCTCGATTTCAACCTTTGCCTCCATTGCTCCAACTTGGTATCGACCCCATCTTTAGTTTCATCCACCAAAACGATATCATCCGCAAACAACATACACCATGGAACATATACTTGTGTGAGACCTTTTATTTTAACAATTGTTAAATATACAATTTTACTACCTCCGTTTCAATTTATTTGCAACATGTACCATAAATGGAATTTGCAACAAATGGTTTCTTTCTTTCTTTTATTTTTTTATTTTTACTTGTAATTTCTTTCTATCTCTCACATTTTTTTTTCTCTTTCCATTTATGACTCACAAACAAATTTTACCTAGATATTGATGAATGTCTCATTGCTGCAAATAAATTGAAACGGAGGTATTATTTTTTTTTTTTTTTTTTTTTTTTTATTTTTTTATTTTTTTTTTTTGTATTGGCGGTAGGAGTGTTTGTTAACACAACTTTGGACAGTGATTGTGCTTTGGCTAACAGTATTCATGGCAACACATGGGTCAAATACTTTTGAGGAAATTTCTTATCTAGGATTGGGAAAGGGGTGGGGGGTTCCCACATTGTACATAAGAAAACTTTCGAAGTGAGGAAGGGGGTACAATAAGGATGCTCCCTGATCACTGAACATAATGACCTATTTTGCAATGTTTAGGTGTATGGTAATACATGTTTTCTTGCAAAAGCGTGGTCTAAGTTTGAGCAGTCTATAAAAGGCATGTCTTGGTGCAAGGCAGCATGGGCCCTGTAGTTATTTTATTTGTCTAGGCACACCAAAAGATGCACTGAGGCGCACAATTTTTTTTTTCCTTCACATTTATTAAGTGTGCTCAACTTAGTGCGGTGCAATTAGGCACACCTAAGTTTTACGGAAATCCTTATCGCCTTGGTGCTCTTTGAAGCCTTTGCATGCACTGAATTCCATGAGATAGAGCTAGCTCTGGTAGCTAAAGGTAGTATGTCATTGTGGCCATCAGTACATGTTGCTTTCAATTTTGCTAGACTAAAAATTCAAACGTTGAAACAATTCCTCGCCACTTGTTGAAGCTATCGTAAATTGATTATTTTTTCCATTATAGTTATGTGCTGGACACAGCAGCTTTTCATCCTCTTATTAACACACTTACACTCAAATTATTCTGCTGTTTTTCCCACTATCTATTATGGATTACTTTCTCTGACCTTTGATTTGTTGGCTACATACTACATGCACCAAGGTTATACAAGTGGCTAAGTTTAGTTCCTTCGGTTTTTTTTTTCCTCTTCTTTTATTCGGGCTCTGTTTGCTTTGAAACCTTTCCTATAAAAATGATTCAAACATTTTCCTTTGGTTTGTTAAGAGGTGCAAAACAAATTTCCAAAAGGTAGAGGGTAGCTCTTCAAGGGTGCAAAACATTTACCTTTTGTGAAAAAGGGATGCCACATTTTTCCATAGCTAGAATCCCTACTCTTATGTCATCTCTTTCAATCTTTCCTCCGATTCATAATCTGCTCTTTCTCTATATCTTTCCTTCTAAAGAACCTGAAAGGAAAACCATTTTATAATTATGTTTACCCTTGAAAATTGTTTACTATGGGAAATTATGTTATTTTTACACAAACTAAATGGGGCCTGAATGACTGAATAAGGAACCCAATTCTGGAAACCTACATTGTGGATATCGTTCAACTATATCAGATGATTGAAAAGCATGTCTGCAAGACTTTGCAGTTGGAGTCTGATGCATTATGTGTGCATTTTCATCTAATGCCTTGCCCCTTGTATTTATGGATGCTTTCATCTTTTGGCTCTGTGAACCTCTCCATAAAAAGAATTTCCAGCATTATTATAGGTTATTCCTGGTACATGGCATCAATCATCACCATAAGGTGGATTTTTTTTAGTGGGTCTTGTGTACTCATCATTAAATACTCATCTTTATGAAACACTATGTGAATATCACATCTGATGGTATCGTTGTGCCTTACACAGGAATCACGTGAGTTTTTCACTGAGGAGTCAAGACGGATACAATGCACAAAATGTGGCAATTCACACATATGGGTTTGTACTAATCGGTCTAAGGCCAAGGCACGATGGTGTCAGGTGCGTGTTTGTGGAATTTAGTCTTTATTGGACTGCCCGTGTTGCTTCTCTCATCTCTATTTTGTTCATTATTTTCTTCACAGGATTGCGGTCAGTATCATCAAGCTAAGGATGGAGATGGCTGGGTTGAATACAAAGGATCACTTGTCTTCAATGTACCTCAAAAGGTATGTTTGAATTCAAATAACCACGGATAGATGTCCCAAATATCCTGATTTGTTGTTTGCCAAGTTAGTTACTTGAAGAAGATTCCATGGTCTTTAGTAACTTTTTTATAACGTATCTTTCTTTTGTGTGAGTTGCCTCTCATTTACAATTAACTTCAAGTTCCTATATCCACTAGGTCCCACACCTCAACTACATTTAAAATTTGGTTTGGATGTCTTATTGATATTTGGCTTTATTGATATTTGGCTTACTTTTACAGTCATTGCATTGACCTTCAATCCCAACAGAGATCTCTAGAATTCCTGGGGACAATGTCATTGGCTAACATTTGTTTTCTCTTTCAACTACCAAAATGCAGTGAAGAAGCTGCTATACAGCTCACCTTACCATTGTTTTCCATTTTATCCAAGGGCTTCACTTAGAATTCTGGCAGAGCTGTTTGAATTGTAGTTACTCCTCTAGTCCTATGTTGGAAGAACAAAAGCAAGCCCACGGTTCAGTTTCAAACTGTAACATTACCCAAAATATGATTGGTAGATGTAAGATTAAAACCTGGTTTTATAGGAATCTCTTCACCTTTCCACCCCTGTTTATCTCCAGCAAGCTTCACTCGTAAATTGTAATTGGAGTAGAATTTTAATGTTTCACTCACTAAAAGCATAAGAATGATGTTTAGATTCACTCTCTAAATGAAAAATGACAAAAGAATTGCAAAACTTTGTTGGGGAATTTTCCGTGTTATTTAAGTACAAAACCCTATTTTATCAAAGCACAATTGCGCAAAGCTATCATTTGAATAGCTGAAACTTAACAAGTATCTTAAGACTTTACATTGTCCAGCTGATCTGTGGGCTCAGAAAGAGTAAGATGAACTAAATATAGTCTTAAACCTATAAAATTAAAAATGCAGAGAACCAAAGTACAAAGCAACCAAACTACCAGTAATGATGTACCATTAATAAACATTATCCAAGAGCATAAAATAGAAGCCTGCAAATGCACAGTACTTTTATTAGTGTAAAATCGCATCATGTCTTGTTATGGCATTACTAATGTTATTTGAAGTAAATGATTCACGATTTAAATGATTGATGATTAAAGGATATTTGAATTCATATCTCCAATCATGGGCGTATGCTGAACGTAATCGCCTCAAAAGGAAAGGGCAAATATGCTTGGTGATAGAACCCAAGATGAATACTGCATTTTAGGAATTAATTTAGTATTACAATAACGTTTAGTCTGTCTGGTGACTAAATCAGTTTAAATGCAGTCATCATTGACCCAGAGGGATTACTTACTGGGTCTTGAGCTTATTACATTTTTGTAGTTGGCATTATTTGCCATTTTTTTTTTTTTTCTTCAAGAACTTGTTGCCCATTCCTAATTCATTGCATTCCAGATAAATGTGGCTGAGTTTGAAATTTAATAATTGTCTGTAATGGAAAGAAAGATAAGTTAGAAAAAAAAAATACTCTAAAGATATTTTGTAATGTTCTCAGCGGTTTCAATTTTGTATCCAGCCACCCGTAATCTATGAAGAGAAAGGATGTTAAAGGGTATAATAAACAATTTATGCTTATGTATGAGAAAAGATGAATTATAATATTGAAAACCATAATATGTAAAAATAAATTAAAAAACCATCAGTACTGCAGTATTTAAAGATCCTGTAAGGGATCTGAAAACCAAGCTTTTGAACGATGAACTTGTGCTTCCTCAGATGAAAATAGTAACGATATGACTAACTTTTTTTTTTAACATATTAACTTGGTTGCGGTGATGGAGGTGGTATTTTAGCTTGGCTAGTAGCCTACTAATAGACTGTGGAATCACTGATATGAAGCTTTTTTGAGGTATGTTGAGTTGAAATTCTGGGTTGTGTCCTATCTATCTAAATTCAAACAAGATAATTTCAATTTTGTATGATTTTATATTGAAATACGCCCTCCATCCGACTGAAAGTTTCCCATCTCTCTTGGGTACATAGTTGTAGGAAGGTGTTGGTGGTGGGTTTTTGCAAGTATTAGTGAGTAATAATATTAGTTAGTAGGTATTTTTTATTGTTTTTCGATGACGGTGAAAGGTGGGAGATTGGGATCGTGGGACTATATTGTTTTTTTGGGGGTAGAGCAAAGATGAATATAAAATGGAGGAAAAGGAAAATGTTTTTATATCATATTGACCAAGTCAATTGTAAAATGGGAAGTTTATTGTGGGACAAACAATAAGAGAGATGAGAAGTTTTTTGTGAGTCGGACAAAGACCTTTTTACCTTAAGATTAGTCTTTGTTTTATCATCTTTCTCGTTATTAAATTGAGGGGATGTTGGTTAGATATTTGAATAAACTCGAGGTGAGTTTCATACATTCATACCTTTTATGAGTCTGGTGTCCTGTGTTCTGTATAGCACAGGCTTTTCCTTTCAAAGTTTTTATATTCATCATGACTAATCATGTTACCGGCTGTATATTTGTCTGGTCATATTGTATTTGTCTATTTATTTATGTTATTTGGTACTTGCAAATTTGCAATCGCAATTGTGTATTTGGCGCTTGTGTTTATGCAATAGATAACCTTAGGAGGGGCAATTTGGGGAGTCTAGTATTATTAGGCTAGTAATCTTTAAGCCTTGGTATAAATAGGGAATAGGGTATGCAGTAAAGTATTATGTGAGTTGTGAGGAATTATGTTGAGAGTAGTAACCTCAAGTTATTAGGAGAGTGATAACCTGAAGTTATCAAGAGAGTAATAGCCTAAAGCTATTGATCTATCACTTTTGTATCCAAATTTCTGCCATTATCAATCAAAGACTCAAGCTTTTAGGTTTAAATTTCTTGTTCACTAGAGCTTATAATCTGAAAATCCTAGTCTATTACAGTTTATTGAGCCAAAAAAAGTCTTACCCAATTTATTTAAAAGTTTGACGAACACACTGTATTGTAATGTATTGCAATTTTATGAGCTATGTGTTTGATGTTTGTGTCGTTAATTGTATCTACTGACAATCGTTAATTGTATTTGCTGACAACTATTGTATCTGCCGACAGATGGAAATTCCACGTGCCTTTGTGTGTGCTGAAAGTAAGATATTCGATGTGTCGGAATGGGCTATCTGTCAGGTATATTTACCCGCTTTACATTCGTACCCTTTTTTACGCAGCTAGTTATAAAGTTAACATTATTAGGTTAATAATGGGAGAGCTTGCTCTAACATCCAATTTATCTGCTGTTAAATCTCTCTCATGGCTGCTCTATTACACAACTTAGTTCTGCTTTTATTGTGGAGGAAGCAGCACTTTAATATTTACTGTTAAAATGTCCTAATAAATAGCCTGTATAACCCCAGTTCGTGGACCTAATCAATGAGAAGAATTATCGTAGGACTCGGCTTGTATCATCATCCATTACTATTAACCGTATAAGGTAAGTAGTCTAAGCTATTGATTTTGCATGACTAATATAAGTTAAAGGATACAATTATGGTTGTGCTGAATATTACAAACCATATCAAATGTCTGAGGGTTGTAGAATTCCATGATGATTCACTAATTTCCCACATCTGAAGATTAACTAATAATTAAGCTCTTGAGAAGCTTGCTTGAGTTCATCCAGATGGCAGTTGCTTTGGGTTTGCAACATTATTGAGGAGATGACATTTAGCAGACAGGACTTCAATTTATTTATTCATTATGTTTTTTCCCCTTAATGAGTTGCTTTATGCAGCTTTATGGAGGGAATGACCTTCATTGACACAAATTCAGTTTCCCCCTCCATAACGAATTTAGTATCTTCATTTAAGCAAAAGCTTTACTGGAATTTGCTTAGTGACGAGTTAAATCCATCAATTGGTGTTGTGATTCAATGACGACAGTTCAGATTGAGGATTTAAGCTAGTTGGGCCATCCAGTCTATGTCTTTATGAAGTGATGCGGCTGTTGTTGTCCTTGTGGATTTCCTTTCTCTTCACCTGTTTCATTTTGAGTTATTGAGATGACCAAGGGATATAAAGTCTAGTTTAAAACAGTGTCTGTCATGAATAAGGATGTAAATTAACGCTATGAGGCAGTGGTTTATTGCTACATATCTTTTTACTAACTAAACATATCTCCCTTTTTTTATTTTATGTAGAATTATTTGATTAGAATCATGAAGTTTATACAACATATTTAAGTTTTAATATTTTAGCCTTTGAATTTCTGATTTCCTCCAAAATGGTGCTTTTTTCATTATCAAATTTTGCATCATTGTTGCAAGAGATAATATATTTAACGGATGAATTGAAGGACTTTTGTCAAGTAAATAGACCCTTCAATTCTTGATGATATCAATGCCTTTACATTTACCAAACTGTCGGGTTATATGGCTGTAGCAGAAGTGAGAAACTGTGAGTGAACGCCATTGATATGTGCGATCCTTTCCTCTGATAGTGCTGCACCTGTCCTTTGGATCTGGTTCAATGAAACAAATAGATGCTGCTAATTTGTCCTTGCATTGCTTGTTATCTGTTTAAATTCGTGATAGGAGTATTGCTGATTGTAACCTCATAACCAAGTCCGATTAGGATATGGTAGTGAAGTCGATTGATGTGGTCATTCTCTAACTAGATAGAAGTTTTCAGGGAATGGCTTGTAGACCCAATACCCATCGACCGAGTTTCCATGTAAACATGGTTGGTTTGGAGAAGACAACTCGCTCAAACTCGAGTAGATTCCCATGGGGTTTGGATGCAGAAATGATGGATGAAGATGAAGAAGAGTTTGATTTGTGGCTTCAACAGGCTCTGGCATCTGGTCTCTTTTGTGAGACTTCAAAACGGCGAAAGACCTGGAGTCCATTCAAATTAAACCAAAAAAAGAAGCAATGGCGAAGATCATCTTCAGGATTGACTTAAAACGTGGAATCATAATTTGATTTCTGTTTATGATAATCCTGCTTGTTAATCAAAGAAATGATTGGTTATCAAAATTTGGCAATTGTCACAAGATGGTGGCTGTTCCTTGACCTCTGCAACGTATGATTCGAAGAGGATGACTTCGATTGGGGGTAGCTGTACCAAGAAAGTGAAATATGAGTCCCAGTATCAATTTGACGTTCCCAAATTGTAAATATGAATGTAAATGCAGCTTTGTATTTCTTAGCAAATATCAATTTTGTTGCATTTCGGGACGGTCGATGATAAACCCCTTGAGAGCAGTATGTGTGGTACGCAAATGCTAGGATGTGCCCACTGTACATTATTAAAATTGTAAAAGATGATGTACTGGTTCCCTGGTTGGTTGTAATAAATAAATAAATAAATTAAAAAAAAAACAAAAAAAAAAAAAGGAAAAAAAAAAACCATTTTTCAGAAAACAAGAGTGAAGATTACTCTGCAGTCTCTGCTAGTTAATTTCCTATCTGGTATCTCTCACATTTGGTTTTTGCTTTTACTTTTGGTTTTGCTTAACCTTTACGTAACCAAGGCTCTGATCTTTTGATTTGTTCTGCCTGCTCTGTTCTACTTAAAAATAATAATTAATATTTAATATTTAATAAAAATAATAATAATAATAATTATTAATATTTAATAATAACTAATATTTACAGATAATAATAATAATAATAATAATAATAATAATAATAATAATAATAATAATAATAATAATAATAATTTATAATAATAATAATAATAATAATAATGTTGTTGGTGGATTTTCAAAATGCCTTCTATCTTGTTGATCGTACGGTCATGTTGCGTGAAGGTCGTCGTCATTATCCGGGCATTTTCGCGATGGGTTGAATTCTGCTATTCTAATCCAGCCAGATTGTATTATGGGGACCAATCCTTATGGTCGTGTCAAGGAGTGCAGCAGGGTGATCTCATTGGTCCTTTACTTTTTGCTTTGGTTTTACAGTCCCTAGTTTGTAAAATCAGAGATGCTTTTGACTTATGTCTTCAGGCATTGTATTTGGATGACGGTACTATTATTGGTGACACTTTGGTGGTGGGGAAGGTTCTACAGTTGATTATGGAGGAAGGACCTCATTTTGGGTTACATCTTAATGTGGAAAAAACTGAAGTTTTCTAGCCTACTAAAGACCCTCGAAGCAAGTTTGTGGGTGTATTTCCGCCTAATATTGCTCGACCTTTGCGTGGTGTTAAGTTGCTTGGTGGTCCTGCTAGTTCCGATTTCGGTTTTAGTGGTGAGCTTGTGATGCAGAGGGTGACCAAAACCATTGCGCTTATGGAAAAGGTTGTTATGCTTGATGATTCTCAGTGTGAGCTATTTTTACTTAGGGCATCTACCGAAGTTTCTAAACTCTACTTTGCATTACGTACTTATCCTCCTAGTACTTTTGAGACGGCTTAGCGCACATTCGACGGGACTCTTCGATCTTCTTTGGAGCGTACTGTTACTACTTCGGGGCCTGGGTTTGGTGATTGGCAATGGCGCCTTGCCACCTTACCATTTGTGTTTGGAGGGCTTGGGGTATATTCCGCAGGTGATGTTCGTCATTATGCTTTTCTTGCTTCTCGGTTGCAGTCAGCTGGGTTACAGACACGACTTTTACGACATGTTGGCATTGTTTGTCTGGGACGAGCCTTTAGACATGCTTTCAGTCTGTTTAATGGAATAGTGGAGTATGACATTATGAGTGATCGTAGTGAGATCGCTACCCCGAAACTCATGAAGAAATTGGCAGATATATATTTCACAAAGGTTACCGCTTCTGCAGAATCCGCCTTTTCTTTGTCTCCTCGGCAATCAGCATTGTGGAAATCGCAACAGGGAGATCACACCTCTGCTTGGCTTCGGGCAGTCCCTATTTCTGGGTTGGGTCAGACGATGAACGCAAAAACCTACCGATGTGTGTTGTGCTACAGGATGGGTGTTCCATTGTCTCTATCTCGACGCCGTGTTCTGCTTGTTCTCGGGTTTTTACTAGGGATATTTTCGGTGATCACGCGGTGTCTTGTGCTGGTATTGTGGGTATTAAACATCGGCATAATGTTGTCCGGGATACCCTTGTTGATATCTGCTACAAATCTTGGGTTTCAGCAAGAAAGGAGGTTGACATAGGGTTGTCTGGAGGGAATGACGGGACCCTCAGACCTGCTGATGTGTTACTTTATTCTTGGGATCGTGGTCGTGATGTTTGTGTGGACTTAACATGGTCTTCTCCTTTGACATAGACGGGGATATCTGACTTTGTTTCCGGACAGGTTGTGGCTGATGCGGCTCATCGGAAACGAGTGAAGTATGAAGCTAGTTGTCGGCTGATTGAATATTGATTAGGGGATTTTTATCCACCAATCACCGTCTGACAAGTGGACCAACCAGGTTCCGCCACGTGTCCTTCACGTAGGCCAATAGGAGCCTGCCACGTGTCAATCACAGATACGTCCTCTACGGACCAATTGAGACACGCCACGTGTCCACCCATGCCAAATGGGAAAACCGGCCAACAAGGCCCAATCCTGTTTAGAGGCCCGGTCAGCCCTAGGTTTACCCTAAACCTAGAGAGTGGCACGCTTCTCAAGACTATAAATACTTAATTAATCCTCATTAAAGGGGATCAAGCAATTAATGACTCTCACCTAGAGAAGTCTAAACACATTGATCACTCCTCCCCTAGAGGAACCAGATCTTCCCCCTTTATTTTCCGCACTTATTACTCCTTAATCAAGTACTAACTTGACCGTTGGAGGTGGAGCTCTCAGGAGTCTCCGTTATTTTGCAGGTACAGGCGTCCGGTTCCAGTCTCGGAATTGTAACTCTCCCGCAGGACATCAGAAAACCCCGAAACATTTGGCGCCGTCTGTGGGGAGAGTACTTCAGAGATGGCATCCAAGTCTGTACCGACTCCTGAAGAGAGGCGTCCCCTAAACGACCCTCAAGTTCAGTCGGACCATGACACCGAAAGTGAATTTGAAGTTGAAACTCATACAGCTCCAGACGGGACCCTAAGGGCCCGACGTACCCGTCATACCGAAAGGAGGGAACGGGAGCATCTTCAAACAGGAAGCGAGCCAGCAGGCGCACCGCCTGCTCGGCAACAGCCGACTGATGGGTCTGCTCCCATCACAAGGAACGAACTCATGACCTTCATGAGGGACTTCAAGGGAGAGATTCAAGAGTTGATCAACAAGAAGCCGCCTGCTTCAGTCAAGGAGCAGTCGGCCAAGAAACCCTCCACTTCACTGAAGAGGAAGCCAGTTCAAGGGCGAGAGGCGACTCCTCATCCTAAATCTAGGAAGCTGGAGCCACCTGCCCTTGATTTCACAAAATTCCGTTATCCTACAGGAAATAGGAAACCGGTTCGTCATATTCAGGCGGACTGGTCAAAGCAAACATTCACAGATGCTCGGCTACTGCTAGAGCAGAAGAAGAGTGACCGATTGTCAAAGTCGGCTTCTACTTCAGACTTTCAAGACAGTTTGCGAAATGCCTCGATGAGGCATACTCAGTCGTACCATGAGAGTCAGTCAGGCGGCACCTCCCGTCAGTCCGGCTTTCATAGTGCCCAGGCGGTACCAAACTTACCATTTGTGCCGCAACAGTATTTTATGCAGCCACCTCCGTTTGGTGGACCTGCAGCAAAAAACGTCCAACCTATGGACTGGCAGCTACGGTTGCTTAGACTTGGTGAACAGCCGTCGGCCTTCTCCAAGGAAATTACTGAAGCCGCTCAGCCGGCCAAAGTGAAAAATATACTAGTAGGCGCCTATGACGGCACTACTAACCCAGAAGACCATCTGATGGCATTCACCAACCTGATGTACCTTCAAGGGTTGGATGATCCCACTTGGTGCAAGTGTTTCCCAGCGACTCTCAAAGGAATCGCACAACAATGGTTCGGCAACCTGCCGACTGGTTGTGTAAATAGCTTCAGGACGCTTGCTTACTTATTTGCCTCCAACTTCGCCATGAACATCCCTGCGAAGAAAACGACCCTTGATTTGGGAACAATTCAGCAGGGCGAGAAGGAGGGGCTTCGTTCTTACATCAGGCGGTTTAACCTGATGAGAATACAGATTCAAGGGTTACCGGATGAGGTAGCTTATACAGACTTTTTTAGAGGTCTCAAAGACGGGTCTACCTTCAAATTTGATTTGGTTCGAAAAAGGGTGGCGACTCTTCAAGAGGCCTTGATTGAAGCAGAAGCCTATATACAGGCGACTGATCTGTGTACGATTAAACAGTCGGACGGGAAAAGGTTCGACAAAAGAGAAGGACGACAGAAACAATCGTCAAACAAAGATGAGAAAAGAAAAGAGGTCTGGGCGGCTGATTCCTCTAAACAGCCGGCCCAGAAAAAGAAAAAAGAATTCAAACCATACTCCCCAAAGTATGCGTTTAACAAGGATAACCAGTTTATCCTAAAAGAAATCAAGGGACGGATCTCAATTGAGAAGCCGGTCCCCATGAAGGGTTCTGCAAACAACCGGAACCAAGATAAAATCTGTGCTTATCATGATGACGTTGGTCATCACACCAATGACTGCATCAGTCTTATGCGGTACCTAGACCGCCTGGATGAGCAAGGTGATCTTGACACTTATGTCAAGAAATCTACGGGGAACACTTCCTCAAAAAAGCAGTCGGCCAAAAAGAATCAGCAGGCCGACAG